TTGGCGCTTAAATCTCAAATTTTCTTTTAACCAATAATTGCAATTGTACAAGTTGAAAGCAAGGAAAGGCCCAGTTTAAAAACTATTACCAAACTACAAAGTAAATAGATATGGAGAAAAGTGTGCACTACAACATACATATACATATGAGAGCTTAATTCAATTGGGATTATTAGAGCAATAAAATTTGTACACATTTGCATTCAAATGCTAAGATTAAATTTGTGTGTTTTGTTTTTTATATGTATAAACTAGTTTATATGCCAATTACGTTATAACGTTCGCGTGTACACACACAGATACACACATACACAGATGTGTGCGTGCATGTACAGTTATCACAAAAAGCTTTATTCACGTTGCAGCAGCAGCGGCAACCTAAAAAGCATTTGATTCTTGTGCTTTTACAGGCCAGCCAAGCACTTGGCTCGAATTGGGTCAAGGCCAAAGAAACAACTTCTGCAACCAAAACGCAATTATTAACCGCGAAAGTCAGAGAACAAATGTGAAAGAAATATTCGATATAAAATGCGTCCAGAAATGAAATCATGCCTCAACTTAAAGCAACGAAGAAGAGGAATGACAAAATGCCGTGAATAATCAAACGCAAATCGCATTTTCAGCATTATTCAAAGAATTATTTTCTATGGTGGGAGTGTTCAAAGTTTAATTTATTTTTTATTCGCCGCTTTCAATAATTTGTAGACAATAATATGCTAATGAATCCGGGAATACCCCGCCAAAAAACACTTGAAAAGAAACTTGTTTCCTAATGCAACTAACCAATGAAAACAGAATACACTCATCTACAAAGTGATCATCAGCATCAAGAGGGAATGCACAGCAGAAAAAAAAGGCTATAGCACATCATACACACAGAGATAAACATTTTCTTCCAATGTGAGACAAAGACGCAACCATGCCTGCAAAAAGTTGATTTTAAAAAAAAAAACGAACAAAAACAAAAACCTCTCGCACATAAAGCACACAAAAGTGTAGAAAAATCTTTGTCCGACCTTGAACTTGAACGAATCTTTCAACTTGATGTTGATTAACAATTAACAACAACAGCAGCAACAGCAGCAGCAGAGAGCGAGCGAGACAGCAAAAGAGTTGAACGAAAGAGAGTACCACAGAGCCCAGAAGTGAGCTGCGCGACTAGCATCGAGACTTAACGAAGGGGCGCTTATAAATTATGAGAAAACAAGCTTTGAACGAGCAGGAGGAGGGGGGCAAGGGATAAAGAGCTATACAGCTATAGACACACAGAAAGTAAGTGGTTTGACCAGACAAATGACGCACGTTCCATATGAACAAAGTACATACATTATAGAAATCTAACTTGAAATTCCAGACCTATTCTTTAAAAAATAATTATATTATTTTTCTATACATGTAATAATATAATTTATTTGTTAACCTACAAAATGCAGTATCGAAAACTTGATTAAATCTGAATTCGAAAACGCAACCTAATGAAACCTGATGAAAGCAATAGAAGAAACAAAACATAATCAATAACAACAACACATCAAAAAGATTTAAAACAAATTGTGAAATATAACTTTGAAAAATTAGAGGGTACAAATTTGTTTTGTTTGTGTTGTTCTTGGTTTTCTGTCGAGGAAAATTTGTGGGTTTCTTTTTTGTTGGTGGCGATACTTTGTTATATTTATATGGTATAAATCAGAGATCGTTAAAAAATTGGGGTTTGTTGGCACCGCTTCAAGCAATTTCTGTTTAAGATTTCATGTATAAAATTAAAACATAAACAGAGACTCAATTGGCTGGAGCGTAATGCAAGGTAAATGTAAATTGACGAAGAATAAATTATAATAATAAGAATATGTATGATATATATACAATAAATATATATATATATATATATGTAATTTAATGTGTATACACTTAATAATAATGCAGCATAAGATAGATAAATGAAGTATGATTATAATTTTTTAGATAGTTTATAGCTTACCCTGAGCGGCGTTTTAAATGTAAGCAATATATATATTTTTTTAAATTGCTTCAAATAGAGTGGAATAGCTTTATTTTTAGGCAAAGCTTTGCTCTCTGTTTGCTACATTACCTGAAAACTCTGTAAAAATGTTTCTTTTTTTGGGGAGGCGGTAAAATGTATGATGAGTGGTTTTCTTTTTTGTTTTCTTTGGATTGACTGGAGTTTGGGAAAATGTGGAAAGCTTATGGGGAAGAGGGTTGGATAGTTGGTTTGGATTTGTTTGGCACAAACAAAAAACGAACTTAAAATATCAAAATTTATTTCATTTTGTTCGCACTTCGCCCAACCGATACCGTCGAGCGAAGCATACTTACCTGGTAATAAGCGCAAAAGAGAAACCGATGACCACCAACTGTAGAGGGCGCCACCATCAAGTACCAGCGCTTAAGCAACAACTGTACCTCACCACCCACTGGATGGCTACGTGCTTAATTGCGCGGCATTAACTTGATCGGGCGGATGTGCTTACGGCAACGGCAACGGCGACGGCAACGGCGACGGTGACGGTGACGGCGACTCTGAACCATGCTGATATGTTTTTCTCCTTCGTTCTTCCGCTCCTTTTGCTGCTACTTTGTACACTGATTCACTTGACTCGTTAAAGTTTACAAAAGGAACGCGATTATGCATGCGCAATGCGCTCTCAAGAGAGAGCGCCGCGTGCATTGCACAAAACGGTAAACGAGCGAAAAGCTGCGCGCGCGCGCCCTTGCTTGGTCAAAAGGATTTGCCAAACTCAGAGAGTAAACGAGAATTTCTTAAAAACTAGCATAAAACATAATGGATAACACAAATTAAAGTCAATAAATGAAACAAAAAAGTCCCGTCAACCAAAATAAAGCAAAATTATATATATACATAGATATGTATGTATAATATATAGGTAAATATACATAGTACTAAAATTACAATTTAAGAACTGCATGCGTATTTTTTTATATAAATATATATATATATATATATAGTTTAAAAAGAATAAAAAAATCAACTAAAATCGTGTAAAAAACATTAGCTCGCTCTGGAGAGGGGAAAATGGGAAAAGTTCTAAACGAAGACGAATCAACAGATGTTGGCAATTATGAATATGGCGAAAAGCAAATGTAACAAAAATGATAACAAACAGTGCCGAAATGGGGGTTGTTTGTGAAATATATATGGGTGTATGTATGTGTATGATGTGCGTGTGTTGTATGAAGTTTAACGAAAACAAAAGTTAAACTTGAATTTATTTTTTTTTTTGCTTGTTAAAATTGCTAGAAGTGGTTTACCAACAATAACAACAAAACTTTTGACAGGACTGCAGCAGCACTTGAAACAAACACTAGAGCTTTCGGTGAGAGAGTGAGAGGGACAGAGAAAGCAACCTTGGGCAGACACGCACGCACACACACACGTGGGGAGAGAGCAACGCTGTGAACACATACACACACACCCAGGCATAACAATAACTAAAGTGACGTATGAGTATTGCTATTGATGACGGCAACTTTTGTTATCAACTCACACGCACACACACACAACACATTCACGCACAAAACATAATTAAAAACTAACTTAACACAACACAATCAAAGTTGAAGCTGCAGTGTGCTGTATGAATGTTTGTGTCTGTCTGTGTGTGTGTGCGTGTGGGGAAATGTGTTGAGCGTGGGAGAGCGCAATTGAAGTGTCTTCGTTTTCTTGAACGCTCTGGCAGCGAATGAGTTTAAAGAGAGATAGAGAGAGAGAGAGAGAGAGAGAGAGAACTTATGGAGCAGCAGCTTGCGGCTTATGTTAAAATAGCATGGCAACTAAATATAAAAAAATATATGTTTGTGTGTGTGTGTGTTTGCGTGTTAAATAATAAATATAAAATATATATACATAACAAAATGTTAAAAACCAAATGCGGCACAAAGAACACCAATACATAAGAAAACCAAATGATTACCAAATAGTATATATATATATATATATATATATATAAAATGATATATATATGTAATAAAAAAAAATATATATATATATTAAAACAAATCATACATTGAACACATTTCATAAAGCGCAAATGAATTGATGGTAGTTTGGTGAGTTGTTATTATATAGTAAAAGTTAGTTATATAGTGGAGGATAGCTATATCGGGGCTTGGGGAAATAGTAGCAAATGTTTTTGTTGGTGGTTGGTTGTGTTTTTCATTTATGTGTGTTAAAAATTAAATTAATGTAGTATAATAAATACAATAAATATATACAGAAAAAAAATTGAGTTATACGAATTATGTGTGATCAAATCATAAAAAAAATAATTGAAGTTAGTTATTATATAAAAAAAAAAAACTCAAAATAAATAAAAGAGTAGTACTTTCAACTTGCACAAATTATGTTTTTTTTTTTTGTTTTTAGGTAATTATTTTTGGCTAAAGCATCGAGAGCGGAGCAAAGCAAAACAAAAATAATATAGAAGTAAAAAATAAATTTAACTTTTTAATGATACTTGAAACATTTGTCATATGATTTGTTCTAAATTTTTTTTGTTTGCTGTGCCGCCGCTTCGAATTTTGTTTGTTTTTTCTTTTTAGTATTTTTGCATATTTCTTGTTGCTTGTTTTTTATCTTTACTTTCTTTCTACACTTTCTGCCTAACAAACAATTCTTTCTCAAACGTTTAAGAGCTTTTTTCGGAGCACGACTTTTTGCAGTTTTATGTTATGATTTATTTAATTTCAAAAAATGTTTTTAGTTACTTATTAGTTTTAATCGAAAACGAAAAACAAATATTGTGAATTGAGAGTTGTGTGAAAAATAATTGTCTTTATAAGAGCATTTTTATGCGTATACTAATTTGCATTTGAAAATTTTAGCTGGTCGTCGTGCTCGGCTGGTCTAACCATATTTCTAAACTGTTTTTGCTTTTTCATTTGTATTATATATTTATATATATATATATTGGAATAGTTTTGAACTATCTTTCCGAGTATAGAGTATGCAATGAAAAACTCACCTTGTGGATCCCGTTGCTGTGCATCCTGTGCGGCCATTAGTCCAAGTTCATCCTGAGATCTGTCGTGTTGCCATGTTGCATATGCTATAAATCAACAAAAAAAAGGGGGAAATCGAAAATAAATAAAGAACTTTTATTGAATTTGAAGATGTTCAAACAAACCTTGACTAGATCCTTCGCCACCCTGACTGGTGCTGGCCGCTTGGTCCAGCTCCTCCATTGTCATATCCTCCTCATCCAAAGTCAAATCCTCAACATTCTCATCGTGCGCATCATCATCGTATTCGGCCTTGGGCTCAATTACCATTTCAGTTGTTGTTATGCTATTATCTTTGATCTTTTGTTTATGATTCGACTTATCGAGCGTTGTTAATTGCTTAACGACACCAGTGTGAACGGCAACGGCGCCACTTGCACCGCCAGCAGCACCACTTGCCACATCCATATCTTCAGCATCGCCTTGGGCGCCTTGATTTTGTTGTTGTTGTTGTTGTTGTACATTGTCGGTGTTAATGGCATCGCTTGTTGTTTGTTGCTGCTGCTGCTGCTGTTGTTGGGCGCCCTGGGCAGCTGCGGTCGATGTTAGTTTAGCGCTTTCAGTCTTTTTGGTAACGTTACTGCTGCTGCTGGTGGTCAATGGCTGGTTGGATACTTGGCTTCCGCTGCTGCTGCTGTTGCCGCAGGCTGTTGCACTGACGGCCGTTGCACTTGCTGCACTGCCGCTGGCCAATTGAGTGCTGACCAGTGCGGAGGCGGCGAGGCCAGCGCTTGTTTGTTGGAGGATTGACTGATTGGAGGCGGCGGCTAGCACTGACGAATTGGAGTTGTCGTGCACATCTATAAGTATAGTGGAAATTTGTATTAGTTTACAATTGCATCGATATAAAATTCATTTATTTATCACTAACCATTTTCCATGCTGCGGCGTCGCACTTTTCGACGACGACGTGATGGACTGGAGGAGCCTTCACGCGAACCAGACACATCGGCGGCATCCACCATGCCAGCACCAGGGGCAGCTGCGCCGCTTGTGATGCGCGCACGCTTGGTCTGCTCCAGCGTATAGGGTGCACTCAGCTTGACGCGATGATGTGTATCCGGTTTGGGTGCTTGCTGTTGTGCTGCAGCAGCTGCTGGGCCGGTGCCGCTGCGATTGTCGGATAAGCCCTTGATCTGCAGCGATTCGGCGGCTTTGAGAAGCGCGGTCAGTTGATCTTGCGAGATGTTCACCTCGCCGCGATACATATAGTCCATCATGGCGCGCAACTCTTGGTACTTGACATCCTTGAGTATGAAAATTGGATGCTTGTCGTACTGTTCTTGCAGCAATGTCTACAATATGAGAAATAAATATATAAATATATTAAACAGTTATTAGATATGTCTTTGTTTACTTACAGCAAAGTAGGGACTGCATGCTGATAGTACCACCTTGTGGGCCTTGAGAAATTTGCCCTCGGCAGCAAGCGTACAATCGACTAGTGTCTCATTTTCCAGCAACGTATCAAAGACGCTGATTAGCGTGCTCTGATGGTTATTCCAGCGCAAACAAAACTGTTGATCGTCGTCCATGTTTGCCCCGAATTGTTAAACAGTTTAAAGGAAGGAAGGGAAGAAGCCTTTTGCCGACCGTCGTCGTTCGACGTGGCTCTGCCGCTTGGAGTTGTGCTCTCTGCCAGGCGCGTTTTTCTTTTTGCAGCTTTCAGGAAATTTCAGTTTAATGTAGCAGGCAGTTGAAATATGCTTTGTTTTTGTTTTGTTGTAAACTTGTTGTTTGGTTTGTCTGCTTTTTCTTCTTGCTGTTATCTTCCTTCTTGTTTTTGTCAAATGCTTGTAGTTATGTCAGTTTAACTGCAAGTGCAATGAAAAAATAACACAAAAACAGTTAGTAATGCTGGCCATACAAATAAGTAGACAAAATTTCAAGCAAATACACGCATACACACAATAAAGCCCAAACAACAATGGCAATTAATTACTCGCTTTTATGTTTTGCAACTAGCAAGCGCTTCAAGGTCAAGTTCATGTTTTATTTCAGCTACGGCAACAAAAAGCCGCCTAGTGTCTCTTTTGCACAAACACATTCATACATAAACGCTCAACAGAGCTCGAAAATTCAGTGAGATTATTATTTGCATTCATCATACGTATAAGCACAAATTTATATATATATATATATATATTTATTTTTATCTACATATGCAAATAACACAGCTCCGCAATTGCTTCAACACACGCACATACACTAACACGAATGAAACATACTTTTCCAGCACACAAAAGCGCCCTCTGTGACGCCTAAACACACAACTGCAAATGCAATTTTTTTTATTCTTGTTCCGTCGCTTGCTTTCAAATACTTCTATCTTTGCTTCGATTTTTTTCTTTTATGTTCTTTTTCTCAACTTTGCTCATTCGAACGGCACTCGCCACCACACCACTCTCACTCAACAAATGAGAGCAAGCGATAGCAACGAGAGCGCAAGTACAAATACTCGGCTAACGGATTTTGTGGCGATGTTACAGTTGCTAGTGTTGGAGATCGATGGAAACGATAAATGACGACGAGACGTTGCGACGTCGACGCGTCGTCGTCAGCTAACGAGGCAGCAGGCAGCATGAAACATAAAGAGGGGAAGTTTCGCAGTCGCAGTCGACGTTCGCGTCGTCACTGCTGCATGCACAACTACAAACGTACAATATAGGTATATGTGAACGAGATGAACGTGTGTGCGTTTTCAGTGTGGTTTTTTTTTCCCCCAGTGGGTTTTTCGTTGTGGAAAATTTCACAAGTAGACACACACACAGAAACGTTTACGATTTTCAGATAATTTTAAAGTTGAAGAATGAAGCAATCGCTGCCAGTCACATATTTGTGTGTGTGCGTCGTTTGTTTTATGATGCATTTAAAAATAGAACATTTTTCGTTTGAAGCAACACACATACATAATACAAATGGGGGAGACTTCGCATAAAAATTATTTCACAATTTCTTATGTTCATATTTATTTTCACTTCACAAACTTACTTAATAAATTTCTTAATGCACGAGAAAAAACAATTTGTTTTTCTATATGATTTAAGCGTTTGTTGTTGTTGCTGCTGCTCAATGTGTGTGTGTGTATGTATTGTATGTAATTTTTTGGCCAGCACACCGCACGCGTCACGATCTGCCGTGCACACACTAAAACCAAACAAAAGCTCCAAGCGCACGAAAGCAACTGAAACGACGTAAATGTGCTGGCAACTGAGAGACCCTTTTTCATTTTCGCCGCGACGCTTCGTCGACGCTCACTCACTGCTCTCGCTCTCGACGCGTTCGTTTTGGCATGCTCGCTCGCTCACTCGCACACACCAAAATGGCCGCCCAGTGCGAAGTTGCTGAGAGCGAGCTGCGTCCCTGTGTGAGTGAGAGTGAGCCTCACATATTTTGGGGGCACGTTATGAAATTGCCAAGTAGGCAGACGACTGGCAGCCTAAGGCAGGTAGGCAAAAGGAGCCTTTTAAATGCATTGCAGTGAGCGTGCCAAAGAGCAGAGCAAACATAACGGGAATACATCCCATACACATACACACGCAAGCAGGTAAACAGACAAACATAATGCGAGCAATTGAATTCGCCGCGAGAGCCAGCCAGCCAGGCAGCAAGTGATAGAGAGAAAACGTGGCAAGAGTTTTTGGAGTCGGGTAATGATGCCGTCGCTGGGCCACATTTTCAATTTTCAAAATGGAAGCGAAAAATAGTATATGAAAACGCAAATTAAGAAGACTGATGCCACCGCGGCGAATTTGCATGGAAATTTTAATGAAAAGGGGAGCGCGCGCAGTTGCATCTTGTGTGCATTCTTGTTGTTGTTTTCTGTGCGTCCGTTTCCTGCCGTAATTTAATCATCAGCATAAAAAAGAGGTGGAAAGCAGCAGCGGCAACGACAGCTGCAGCACGCTCACTCGCTCGTTCGTTTTTATGGCCCACGTCGGTGTAAGGCTGCCAGGCAGGCAGGCGGCGGACAGGCCGACATAGAGAAGTTCTATAGAAAACCTAACTGTGCCCATGCACAATTCTCTGGGCACAATGCGCGCAACAGAGACAGCAAGATGTGCGCTACGTGACGCAGTGACAGAAGACGACGACGATGACGACGACGCTGGGCTGGCTTTCGGCTTTTCGCTTCGGGCTCCCTTTTTCACAAGTTGCTTGTTTTTTTTCGTTTTGCCAAGTGAAAAGGAAGCAGCCGATCAATATAAAATATAATGGCGAAAAACACATGCTGTGCTTGTTGTTAGGAGTTGTTGGCTGAGCAAAGCGAAAGAGGAGCAAAAAAGAAATGCAAGCGCAGGAGGGCACCGTTAGGCGGTCGGTTACTTTGTGTGAGGGATCAGTTTTTTCTATTTACATACGTTTGCTCGTATGTATACCTATATATGCATACGTATGTGTGTGTGCGAACTTTTGTGGCCTTTGTACATAAGGTGCGAGTCATGCGCAGTGGCGCCATCTGTTCTTAGTTAGAGTAACTCTTACCCCAAGTGGCAGCGACGTTGACGGCGACAGCGACGTAGATGATGCATTGGCTAGACAATGTCGACGCTCTGCCGTCGTTCGCCTTAAGCTGAGGGTTTTTCCTACGCGCACATAAACACACACACACACACATAGAACAACAAAGCAAAAGGGATTTACATTAGTTGTTATTGTAGTTCAACAACAGCAGCCGACAGACGCCGAGGAGTAGTAGGTAAAAACGGGCGGAAGGGCGGCTCGCTGCCAAAGCATGCAGCGACTGCAGCCGCAGCCGTAGCAGCAGCAGCAGCAGCAGCAGCGGCAGCGTCAGCGTCAGCATGAAAAAGGATCTCTCTCGCTCTCCCTCCCGCTCTCCCTAACGACATTTCGTGACGCACGCTCTTTGCACATGCAAGGTTTTATTTTTGCGCAGATGGTGGAGGATTATAACGAAAATTGGGATCCTTTTTTCCCAACGCAGGCAGAGAGCAAAGCGTTTTCGTTGCTGAGCATGTTGCTTTGTGTGGAAAAAGTACAGTTGGACCCCACAGAAAATGTGTTGTAGATGACGCGCGTTTTTTGCGCTTTGGGGGCGCTCTCTCAGCGGATGTGGCAACCATGTAGCATAGAGTTGTCGAAAAATGTGCCGATTGTGAATGAGCATGATTATGAGTAATGTCTGCTTGTATTGAGGTCTACTATCAAACGACGTCCAAACAATTTCTTTACGGAACGTTGTTAGCGAAAATCTCAATTTTTTTTTATTTTAGCAATTTGCAATTAAATGGCGACGGAATTGCATTTCCGAAACATCGTATCATATGCAATTGCAGGAGTGATATAGAGAATACAACTAAATGTGGATGATACTGAGTACTACATAATAATTATAATGTATTGGGATCTACTATCAAACGACGTCCAAAATTTTCATATGCGGTACGTTGTTAGCGAAAAACCCAACTTGAGATATTAATTTAGCAGCTGCTGTTCTTGGGATGTTAAGACATGGATAAAATATCCCTCAACACCCCCATTATAAGCAATTGCGATGAAGAGATTAAATATATAGTAAAATATATAATATATAAAAAAGAGATGTGTATTGCATATGAGTATACCTAGATATTTTCAAACAGATGGCAAAAATAACAGAAATTGGAATAGTCTAGAAAGTAAAATTTGCATTTCCAGCACTCTGGATGCAATATTTTGTAAACGTAGCTCTAAAAAACGTTAGTATTAAAGTTTATAACCTCAAAAAGAGGGATAGAACAGAGATTTAGCCATTTATTAAGAGGATTCTTGTGGGAGGAACGCGAAAAGTTATCGAAAACCAAAACCTATTCTAAATTTAAGGCCGTTCTCTCTTGATCACAAATGTATATGGTCTATGATATGGTATAAGACGCATCCTACCTTCCTGCTTCATACATTTTGACAACTTTATTTAATCCCTTTCAACCACTTTGTGGGGATATTGTTTCCAGAAAGTGGGATGTTTTATATTCTAAATCTTATTTCATATTTAGAAGACTGCATTGTGGAGAGATCTACTATCAAACTAAAGCGTTATCGAAATGTCACGCAATGTTAGCGAAAAACTCTCCTATACAATGATATTAATCTAGGCACTTGAATGAATCGCAGTTGTAAAGGCACAGAACTCATTAAATCAGGGATTCAAATGCCAACAACTTGAGTGCCGTGCATGATGCAAATCGGGTTAAAAAAAAAGTGTATATATTTATATGAAAAAAAAAAAAAAAAAGGAAAAAGGTTTTAATACTAAGCACGCGCCAGACGGTTCCTGGTCCCAGGATCCCAGAGCAACCCCGAAAACTGGTTACGCCGGTCAGAGAGGCAAGAGCGAGTGCGAAGGGTACATTTTTGGGGGTTGCAACCCCTAAAAGTGTGGCCGATGATCCCCCCACCCTCTCGACCAAAGGGGATCACAGCGTCAAGGAACAACTGCCCTGAGCTCCAGGAAGTGCGCGCGACACAAAACAGGGGAGAATACATATATACATATATATATATATATATATGTATATATGTATTTGGCATTGAGTTTTGGGACTTGAGACTGCAACATATAAAGAGAAGAGAAAAGAGAAGAAAATTCACTTGGAGCTAAGAAAAAAAAGAAACTTTCCATACGTGTTTCTGCAGCCTGATGCTTGCTGGCAATGCTTCTTCTTGTTCTTTTCTTTGCTGTTGTGAGTTTTGTTCTGGTTGGTTCTGTTCTAAAAAGTCAAAAGAAAAACCGGTTTCGCAAAATATACAAGAACTGTGCCATTTCGAAAAACGGGCGGGCGGCAGTTGCGAGTTGGCAGAAAAACCAGTTTAAAGAAAAATAAAACACACTCACACACAGAAAAATCGACAAACGCGACTGAAAAACAAATTTAAAATGGAAATAACTTGAAATAAAATAAAATAAAAAGAAAAAATTAAAGAAAGGAGTTCTTGCTAAAAACGAGCAAAAAAAAAAAGTTCCCCCCACAAGATTTGCATAAAGTGGAATTTATCTTGCCAAGCTGAGCAGCACACCCACACACACACACACACACACACACACGTGCGCAAGCACAGCCACAAATACAGACATAAAATTTGTATATTTACGACGTTAAAATAAACGCCGCAGTCGCAGTTGCTGCTGACTTTCAATAATTTAATTTCTGGCATCGCAAAAGCAACAACAACAACAACAACAATAGGCGAGAACAGGGCAACAGGAGGGGCAGAAGGTAGACAGAACTTGTAGCATTCGCCGCAACAGCCTAAAAACCGAAAAGAAATCGCTTTTGAAAACGTAGGCGGCGCAGGCCTCATCGTTGTCTGTCGCTCTTTTATGATATGGATGGATTTTTGTTTGTTTATGCCATCATACCCTACATAAAATAGGAGTATACTTCATAATTTCCATCTTCATAGGTGAAAATACGCACATGGGTGGGTTGCAGAAATGATTCAGATTTGTCGTGAATTCGATTTTTGGAACATCCCATTTTGCAAAAAACATATAATATACGAGTGTACCCTCTCAAGGCATTTAAAATCTCTCCTTGGCTGACTGTATCCCACTTTCCCGATCATTGGGATGAAAATAACTTATCTAATTTCTAGAAAATGCTTTTTTTGGACGTTCCAATTTCCATATATATCCATATTTTCCTTCCTTTTTCATATTTTTTGCCATAAATATCTATCAATAATAGCGAGAGTTTTAAAATGTGTTTGCCTCATTCTCAACAGATCTATATCTCCCAAAATATTAAAGCTGATCTCTGTAATAGTCATAAAAATCTATCTAAAAATACTTATCTTAAGTTCTTGCATTTAAGAGGGTTCCTATAAAACACTTAAGTATTCAGCATTAAATACTTTTATTACATCAAGGTTTTCTCAATGTTTTTGAATAAGAGTTTTTGTCCTTGATCAATTTATATGTGTGATATCATCTAGAACTTATCATTCAACATATAATTACATTTTTCATTCTAATTAAATATTCCATTTAGCAAAACGCACGACTTTTATGAGAGCAAAATTAATGAGCAACTCAATAATAAATCACAAATCGAACAGTGCATCATTAGCATACGATAATAATATATGTATATCTAAAAAGTTTTCCGTTTTCCTGAGCCATTTACAGGTGAATCCCAAAGTCGTTCACAGGTTTTCTGTTTTTCTGCGATGCTCGCGAAGGCAGAAAATGTCGTTTTTGCCATTAAAAGCGGCCAGCAGAGAAAAACGAAAACTTGTTTTTTGTTTTATTATTTTTTTCAGTTTTTTTTTTTCGTTTTTTTTTCCTCAACAAGCTATTTAAAGTGAATGTTAAGGGCTTGTGTTTCGAGTTCGAGTAAAGGGCGTCTCTGTCGCTCTCGGCGTGAGTTGGCTGAAAAACTCAAGCGTTCCAATGGCAACTGGCAAAACTGGCAATGGGTGTGCGGTATTCAAAGGGGTACGGAGGGGGGGGGGGGGGCACCGGGGGCATCTATGGATTTTATCTATCAGAGTATAAGTGTTTGTCTGCTTGCTGCTGAATTGGGCCTGCGGCAACGACTTGACTCGCGCTGATGCCAATGATGATGATGATTGTGATGATGATGACGATGATGATGATGTCCGACTGTGCCCACTCTCCGCCTCCGCCTCTGCCACTGCCACTGCCCCTGACCCACCTGCCTGCTCCCTCACTCCATCTCTCAATGTTCTCTTCCATCTGCATGTGACGCTTGTTTTGGACATGTTGTAATTTGAAAATGTGGTCACGCCGAGTTTTTAAATAGGTGTGTCTAGAGGTGTTTTTTTTTATCTCCCCGTCTCTATATGACAGGTGATGTTTGGGGCGTTGCGTATTTACACATTAACATTTGCATAGGTTTGTGTAAAATTATATATATATTTATATAATTGATGTGAAGTGGTAACAAGAGAGATAAAACTTGATCTTTGACTTGTTGAATAGTGCTGAGAGACAATTGTCTTGACTTATTGAAGGAAACTTCAAGCTGCTTCCTTAATCTTGCCCAAAATTATTTGTTTTATTTTTTAGTAGATGATTAACAAATGAACAGCTACTCGTTCTCGTATCTCGTTTAGCTTAATAAACAATTCATTTTTCAGTTCCATTCTTTTTGAAAAATTTAATTAAATAAATAGCATTAAGTTAACGCGTCTAATGCCTGTTCTAATTTCGGAACGATTCCTATTTCAAGAGCTTTTAACTTAGCAATTATTCTTAACAATCTTCAAAGTCAATAATTTTCATTAAAAAAATGTAAATAATTCATTTTTTAAAGTTAATTGTCAGTAGGCCGCATGAAAGTGAAATTGCGAAGAGACTAACTGAAGCCACAAAATAATCAACAAAAACAAAAAGTTCAATGAACTTTTTGGCCATTGGCACTCGCAAAAATAATAACAATAGAGACAAGAAACTAGCAAAAAAAATAATAATAAATGAATACAAAATAAAAGCAAAGAGCAGCCAACGATAACGGCCTACAAAAGTCTCGTATTTTTTTTTTTAGTTTTGCACGTTTTCATATTTTTGTTTACTATAACAGAAAATAATAATTATAAAATAAACTCTGTAGGGCAAAGAATTTATGGCACACGCGACTATAAACGTGTAGGTCAGTGTAGAAATTGAAGAGCACAAAAGACCAAAAAATAATCTAAATGCAAGGTCGTTACGTTAAAGACGTGGGTGGTTAAATTTGATGACAGACGACGCTCAAAAGCCAACCAAGAATGTGAGGCAAACACACGCACACGCACACACACACACACACGCACGTATATCTCTTAAAAGTTGGCCTAAAAAAGAAATAATAAACAAATCACAAGTACTAAGAAAAGATACTTGAGCGTTTTTGCATTCTGTTTCGCATGTGTATTCTTCATATTCTCTTCCTTTTGCACTTGTTGCGCAAAAGCTTTTTTTTTTTGTTGCTTTTCTGCTGTTGTGCGTGCTGGCTCTCATTATTATTGTTATTATTGTACTTTTGTTATTCTGCACATGTGCGTAGAATGTAAACAAATGAAACTTTTAAGCTACATGACAAAAAGTTCACTGCGCGCGTGAAATTTGGCAACGTCGCAGCGCGAACGCATATACATATGTATGTATGTTTGTATGTATATTAAACATGGCGTGTGCACATAAAGTGAAAGATTATAAAAGCGACAAAGCAAAGTGTCTTTGTGTATGTGAGTCAAAAACAGGCCGAAAATATGAAAAATGAAAATGTAAACGTGTCTGTAGAGCACGTACATATGTACATAAAACAACAACAACACCAGAAGGCAGCCGCAGCGAAGTAGAAGTGTAGCACAAAGTGGAAACAAAAATATGTGGCGGGCGGTCGGTCCCGTCCGTCCGTCCGTCGGCTGGCAGCAACGAAAAGCTACAAAGAGAGCATACGAAGCGCCAAAGCGCCTGTGAGCGCTGCTGCTGCTGTCTGCTGTGTGTGTGTGCGTGTGTGAAAAGTGCAGAGAGAAAATTTCACGCTTTTTTTTGTCTTGTACAAACATAAAACGAAAAGCAAACGAAGTCAGCAGCCGACGAAGTGAGCCAAAGTGAGAGGGAGTAAAAAGAGAGCGTTGCCAGCCCGCCAGTAGCATTGAAAAAATATTTTTGTATTGTTGTTGTTGTTGTTGTATGGTGCTGCCACGGCTGTTTCGACTGGGTTGCCCATAGGGGGGAAAAACCAAGATGGCGGCTGTACATAGAGCTCAAAACAGCGACACATTTTTTTTTTTAGATTTTACTTTTTTTTTGACAACGTGCTTTTTATAACAATTTACCTAAAATGTTTATTCATACCATACATACATACACATGTACACGTTGTTGTTAATGCATTGAAAAGCGCGCTTTAGAAGCTTATGCTGCTGCGCATATGTATATTCGCCAATTAGAAAAGCTTATGTAACGAACGGTAGTCGTCGTCACACTCACTCTTTCACACAATCGTCAGGCTGGCTGCATACGAATGGAGAGAGAACGTACAATTTTTCACAGCGACACTTGACCTCATTTGCATGCATGTTTGTGGGTGTGTGTGTGTTCATTAAATTAATGAAAATTGTTCGTCATTACTTCAAATTGCATACACATGTATATGTATGCGTGTGTTAGTTTGCTGTTGCACTGAAAAGCTTTTGCAGTGCAGAAAAGCTTTCACAAAACGCATGAAAAATCGATATGAAAGTGAGGCGCTCACCAAACTAATACACGCATGCAAAAAACGTTGAAAATATTGATTATATGCAAAAACACACACAGAAAGAGCGAAATGAGAGACAGTAAATCAATCGCACATATTAGAAAGTACAGTTCTAAGTCTATTTAAAAATATATACATATAGATCTAATGCATTTTAGTTGCTTGTTTTTAAGGTATACACACCGAAATAGAATCACAGGCAGCACATAGTCGTCGTGTCGTTTTGATTAGATTTTTTTCTTTAAAGAGCTTTGCACATCAAAATTATGTTAATACACACACAGAGATAGAGATACGCACGATTTGTATATGTGTAAAAGCGCGCGGGAGAAGAAGCAATAAAATTGAATTTATTTTTATTAAAAAGCCAAGTTTTTCAGTTGTGTGTATGTATGTGTAGTTTTCCTGCTGCTGCGGAGTAGCAGCCCGCACAACAAAATGCGAAACGCGCGGAGCCACTGAAGAAAAACTGACGACTGACGAGCGCACACGAAAAGTTTTCTGGTCTAGCCGCCGCGCTACCGAACGAAGTTCCGAGCGAGAGCGAGCAATCGAGTGAGTGTGAGTTCAACAAAATTACCCAGTTGCGCTTCACTGCATGACAAGAGTACTGCTTACTACCTTATTATTTCATGCACAGCATTGTTTCTCATATCTAATGTTTACCCATTTTTAGAGGTTCTTATTTTTTGTATGCAATTAGGTAATTAATGCCATTAGAATATTTATTGTTTTGCCATTGCAATGTAAATTACATTTACCACATCTTGTCCAACTGGGTAACTTTGGCGTTCATGTACATAATATGTGTGCGTCGTGTGAGTATGTGCTTTGTATGCTTGGCGCGCGCGCAGAGTTGCCAACACCAATACGAAAAACTCAACGGCGCATGCAAATGAAAAACTGTTGTTTATTTGTTGTGCCTGATAAAAAGGCAGGCTTGGCAGCATTAATTAGCAGAGTTTGTTTAATTGAGGCAACTTTGACAGCTAGCGCCACAACTATTGATATAAATAAACCAACAATCATACATAGATATGTTTGTGTATGTATTTGCCAGCAAGCTGGCAACTCTGTCTATGTAGTGGAGTTCAAAAATATCATTCGTTGTGCTCGTTCGCTGTTGTTGTTGTTGTTTTTGTTGTTGCTAACAGCGTCGCTCGCTCATGTAGGGGGCGAGATTTTGTGTATGAGTTTTTGCCAAGGCGAAGCCATAATGTTCACAAGAACAAAAACTGCCGTTGCTGGGCTGTATCTGTCTCACTCTCACTCTTTCTCTCTCTCTCGCTGGCTGTCTTTCGCTCTCTCTGTGTCTCCTTTTCTATGGATGTTTAATGTGTGTGTGTGTGACGGGAAAGGTGAGGGGGGGGGGGGGATATATACCATGTAAAATGTATGCATTGCATTTTGTACTTAAAAAGTGCAAATTATTTCGTGAGTGTGTTGAGTTGTTTTTTTAATGATCGTTCATGCACACACACACACATATTGCTGATTTATTTTAGGTTCCAGCATGACTTCATCGGAAACATTTTCGTGCACCCTTGCCCCGACCATACCTTTAAAAATCATGTGTGTGTGTGTGTGTGTGTGTGTGTGTGTGTGTAATTATGTATGTACCTCAATTTTTAACGGTGTTGCGTTTATGCCTTATGTATTTGTAATTAACGCTTTTATGTGAAATTCTACACGCTTAATTGAAAAGCTCTAAGCGATACTAATTGACGAAATGGAGACAGTTTAAGGTGCGAATTTTATTTTTGGCAATAGCCGTGTTTTCCGTACGAATATTTAGCGATCAGATGTTAAAAGGACGAAGAAATTAAATGTGTAACATACATACATATGTATAGAAAATGTGAGTATAGAATGCAACATTTGTATGTATGTGTGTAATTTTAGATATATGTATAACTTAAATAGCAGCACGTTTCGCATAATAATTAACTCACCTGCATTCAATGCAAAGCTCTCTCTCTCTCACTCTCTCTGTGTCCACCACCTCCCATAGTTAATAAGCAAAAACTTCAAATCGGTCACGTAGAAGCTTTTTCCTTACATTTACATTTGACTCTTTTGTTACATTTGACAAGCGGCGCGTCGTCGCCGTCGGCTTCAGCTGCACTATCACCTAGGCCGCCTGCTGCAATGGCAGCTGCGTCACACACACACACACACACGCACGCTTGCACGAGAAATAAACACACAAGACAAGTGAAATTCAAACACTGACAGTTATCTACATACAAGCAAACATATACACATACATATATATTTATGTTATTTGCTCGCTGCTGCTTTTTAATTATAATAAATTATATTTCAACTGCGGCCTGAGGGCCATAAACCAAATCGAACGACTTTTGTGTTTGTTGCTTTTGCATTATTCTTCAAGCTCACTTTATTGCTGTTTTGCCTTTATGTAAGCTAGTAACAAAGTGTTTTATTATTGTTGCTGTTTTTGTTGCCTCGCTGGGTGTGGGGAAAATTGCTTGCGTTACGTTATGTGCATCAAACGAGCGACACTAGCCGACAAACGCGTTATTCCTGAGAGTTCCGTTTGTTACTGCAATAACAGAAATAAAATAAAACTGCGACGGCGAGTGCGACGCCAATGCCAGCCAAAAAGAATAAGAGTCGAAAAGCTAAAAAATTCAAACACAGAAAAGCAAAGCATATGTGTGCATACACGAAGCTCAACGTTTTTGTTGTTTTCGCTGCATGCGAAAAACGAAGATCGCTCGTGAGTGAAGGCGCTGACTTTGCCTTGTGTACCTTTGCATATTTGTGCGAATGTGTGTGAGAGAAGTAGCGACATTTGCTTGTGGTTGTTGTTTTTTTTTTTCAAAAAGGGAATGTGGAAGTGCTGCTAAATGAAAAAGCAAAGAAAAATGTTTACATGTATGTTTGTGTGTTTGAGTGACCACATATGCGTGTATATTTTTAAATGTATAAATATGTGTGTACATATACAAATGCATTTACGTACTTATATTTGTATCAGAGAAATATGAAATAATCCAAATGTAAATTAAATATTGTATTGTATATGTATATATTTTTTGTCATTCTATGTACACACTTAATAAACTACTGAGTAGATTTATGAGTGTTTACACTCTTAATGCAGATTAATGCATAAGTACATATACATATATGTTCATACATACTTATGTATTTATCTTAAGAGCATTAAAATGTTAATTAAGAAATAAATATGTTATATGGTATATGTCATATGCATATTTGTACATTAATCAAATAATAAGCATTAAGCGGAACAATAAAAATTCCTCAGTAGAGAAGGTGTCAAGTAATGCAGAGTTCAAAGCAAACCCTCGAATGTTTAAGCCAGGGACGGACTGTCAAGCCGCCAGGGGCCCAAAAATATGTTAATACATAATAATTGTGACGTAGTAAGGATGCATTTTTGTTCGTGAAACTAGGGTTAACCTCTTCTGTAAAGTTTCTACTGGGCCCAATTATCAGCTACTCAGCTCAGGTTTCCCCTTGGAGTACCCGATCTATCGTACAAGCCGCTCCTGTAAATGTATGTATGTATGTAATTACTTATCACATGAATCTGTTTGTTTCTACACTTGCGACTTTCTAATGGAGCGTCTAATGTGCAAACATACACACGTTCATACATATGCATGTATGTACACATGTACTGTATAAATCTTTCCACTTTTTCTGACATTTTTGATTTTTTCCCTCTTGGCTTTTTGCATTAACAATTGCTCAAACTTGATTTGGATGCTTCTTTAAAAATAAATGATTACTTGTTTAAAAGCGAAAAAGAAAAAAAATCCAAAAACAACAACAAAATGTTAACCATAATTGCGTTGAGCTTCTAAAAGTTGTGCACATTATTAGCAACTGCGTCGCTGCCGCTGCTGGCGTCGCTGCTGTGCGCCGCCCGCGCAGAGCGAAGTTGTTTTTTATTGTTGTTGCTTTTTTTTTTAGAGATTTTGGCGCGGCTTAAAAAGCTGCGCTGCAAGAAATTAACAACAATAAAAAGTTGAAAATTGTTTGCCATGACAAAGAAAATAATCGTTAAGCTCAAGTTTTGCGGTCCGAAGGCGAAGACAGTCGACAAAACTCGTTTTGGCTTTGGCTGGATTTGTTGTTATTGTTGTTGGGGTTTTTTTTTTCATTTTTGTTTTTGTTTTTTTCGGCAACACTTTTTCGATTGCCCATTCAGCAGGCAAAGTGAAAATTGTATGCCGCGCCCCGTCGCCAGCAGCAACAGCAGCGGCGATTACTTTGAGTGGATCGCCACAGAAATGCCAATCTATAAAGCCGTCCATAGTTAAATGCTGTAGCTTGATCAATTTTTCAATGATTTTCTGTACGAACTTCGAAATGAATCACCTGCTGGCCCAGTGATGCGTGCGTGGGTGTGGGATGGCCATGCACATAGACAGAGACACATGCATGCATATGTATGTGTGTACATCTTTATGTTTTGTGTGCGTGTGTGTGTGTGTGATTTTGCCTGTTGCTTTATTCTTGAAACTTCGCTGGGTTTTTACGCCGTTGTTTGGTGCCTTGCTTCTTCTTTTGGCGCACACAGCTGTTCCATAAAAATTCCTTAACGTTTAATTTTAGCAACAGAAATTGCACGAGAGGGAAAAATGTAAGAAAAAAGTTTATTTTTATTATTGTGCAAACTCATTTACATGCACACATGCAAAAACCAACAACAACAACAACAAACACAACAACACACGAGCAGCAAAAGCAAAAGGAAGCAGCCAAACTTTAAGAGCGAGCGAGAGAGAGATAGAGTGGGAGAGCGCACGCCAACGGCATGCGTGGGAGGGGAACGTCAACTCTACTCTCGGCTATGCTTAACCTTGAAGTCATCTTTTCTCTGTTTGTTCTGTATTCGCTCGTTCGCTGCCACTGACGCTGCTGCTGCCGTTGCTTTTGCCGTTGCAGCACATGCATGCAAATGTAAATTTTGAAATGCAAAAGCCCAACAACTACGGCACATGGCTGCGTTTCTATGCATTTGCCCAGAAGAGCAGATGTGAAACGCTGGGCTCCCCTCTTAACATTTTCCTTTAATGCGCCCCTCGTGCACACGTTCTCTCCCACTGTTGATGTTCTTCTTCTTCCTCTTCTTCTTTTTGTTTAACATTAATCTGTTTTTCGTGTATGCGCTCGCATGTGACAGTGTGTGTGTGTGTTTGTTGGGTTTTATTTCTCTCTCTCTCTCTCTCTCTTTATTTTTTTGCATTTCATGTTCATTTCCTTTTGTCAATTGAATTTAATGGAGTTGTGCGGCGGCTGGGCCAGAAAATGGGCGTCTGCGCCAAGGGTAGAACTGATCGATCAACTTGATCAGAGAACCATGCAAGCGGGGCCTTAGGGGTTGCTCGTTGGCCACTAACCGAAACGGAGGGAGCATCTGTTGTTGCCGTTCGGCAGCTGTTATGTGCTTGTTTTTATGTTTGCCCTCTGGGGGTAGGAAAAACCC